AACAGGGTTTTCGCATTCCCCACTGGTATAGGGTTAGGGTTGGGTTAGGGTTAGGTTAGGGGATAATTACTACTTTCCGCCCCGCCCGGATTGATGAATTTCATGCAAAATCCCACCAGACATTCCTATTCGTTCATTGTCGAACAATGATTCTTTCTCCGGTTCTTATAAGGAAGCAAATAGCCATACTTAATTTCTGATGGTAGAAACTGAAGAATTATGTTTTTAAAAAAATAAGATAATAAATGTAAATTGTAGAAAATCATTAAGAATATTAGTCTATTTTGGTTGAGGGGGCATTTCTACAGATTTTGGTTTTTAATTTATGTACTTACAATGTCAGTGTTTATGTTTGTTCCGTAAAATCGTGCTTCTCAGGTGAACTGAAACAGCGGTTGTCCAACAGGCTACAGACCCCTGCGAAATAATCCACTAAGTTATGGACTGGTAACAATATGAATAAAAACTACCGTATGTTAGTCTTATAAGTTTCGGCAAAGTGTCACCAGTTTTTTTTGGTTTTGATATTTTTTTTTATATGTTGACTCCAGGTTTTTAATGTCAAATTAAAAGAAGGCGTGGTTATAAAGCCACTCTTCATGCAAAGTTGTAAATATCGCAATGTATTTTATAACGCGTGAATGTGAATTCCCGTATATATTTGCCTTAAAATTGGCGGAGTATACTTTCTACAAATAGTTTTTGCATAATTTATGGAGTACATGTAGGCCTATGGCTTGCAATGTATGTGTATGTATTTGAGCAGAGAAGTTCACTTGTTATTTTGAAAAATCGAGAGAGTGGAAAGGCGCCCGGCCAGCTAGACCAACCGCTTCGCACTGCACTTGTAACAATTAAGCACTAAAAAACTCTTTATTCTCACCCCATTAAACAGATAATAAGTAACGTTTGTTAGTCTCAAAATAACGTAAACATCGAGGAAACAAATTGAAGGCTATAAACAAGGATCAGTTGTAATATGTATAATAAAAAGAAATAGAGTTGATAAACGGGTTAAATTTTTATTAGTATCGTGTAAAAACTCCCAGCTGCATCTTTAAAAGTTAAAGCACTGATGTCACCTTCAATATTAATATATAAAATGGTACCACCCAAATAACAGGGTTTTCGCATTCCCCACAGGTATATTGAGCTTTAAAAAGCGAACGGCGAAGCCGTGAAGCTCGGTAACATTTAAAAGCAAGGAAATGAAATCAAAATGCAAAAATTACTATCCCTGGCTAATATCAATGCGAAAGATGTTGAGTGTTTATAATTAAGTGTTAATATGATGTTTGTAGTAAATCAGTGTTTGGGACCCGCCATCGAACCCAGATTCACGAACCCGAAAAAAATTAACCCAAACTTAAATACCTTAGTCAAAAATCCGGTGCCCGTTTCTGAACCTGACCCTTTTAGAAACCTACCCTATACTTTTTCAAGAAACAATCTCAAACACTGAACTTTTTCGGGTTCGGGACGCGCCATCGAACACAAATGCACGAACCCGAAAAACATTAACCCAAACCTAAATACCTTACTCAGAAAACCGTTACCCATTTATGAACCTGTCCCTTTCAGAACCTGACCCTTTACTTTTTCAAGAAACATTCTGAATCATCAAAGATTTTCGGGTTCTGGACTCGCCATCGAACCCAGATGCACGAACCCGAAAAATATTAACCCAAACCTAAATACCTTACTCAGAAAACCGGAACCCATTTTTGAACCTGACTCTCTCAGAACCTTACCCTTTACTTTTTCAAGAAACAATCTCAAACACTGAACTTTTTCGGGTTCGGGACGCGCCATCGAACACAAATGCACGAACCCGAAAAACATTAACCCAAACCTAAATACCTTACTCAGAAAACCGTTACCCATTTATGAACCTGTCCCTTTCAGAACCTGACCCTTTACTTTTTCAAGAAACATTCTCAAACACCAAACTTTTTCGGGTTTGGGACTCGCCATCGAACCCAGATTCACGAACCCGAAAAACATTAACCCAAACCTAAATACCTTACTCAGAAAACCGTTACCCATTTATGAACCTGTCCCTTTCAGAACCTGACCCTTTACTTTTTCAAGAAACATTCTCAAACACCAAACCTTTTCGGGTTTGGGACTCGCCATCGAACCCAGATTCACGAACCCGAAAAGAATTAACCCCAACCTAAATACCTTTATCAAAAATCCGGTACCCGTATCTGAACCCGACCCTTTCAGAAACCTACCCTATACTTTTTCAAGAAACATTCTCAAACATCAAATTGTTTCGGGTTTGTGACTCGCCATCGAACCCAGCTTCACGAACCCGAAAAATATTAACCCAAACCTAAATACCTCAACCAGAAAATCGTTACCCATTTATGAACCTGACCCGTTCAGAACCCAACCCTGTACTTTTTCAAGAAACATTCTCTAACATCTAAGATTTTCGGGTTCTGGTGTCGCCCTCGAACCCAGATGCACGGGCTAGGGCGATAATTTAGCGTAGGTATTAAGGAAGAAAACGATTTTGAACATGTTCAACTCTTATTTTTTACGGAATCTATGATCAAAACGGGTGGACCCTTATAAATCGGGTTTGGGTTAGGGGTTGGGTTAGGTTTAGGGGTTGGGTTAGGGTTAGGAAATAGGGTTAGGACTTGAATACTAGGGTTAGGGTTAGGGTTAGGTTAGGGTTAGGGGTTAGGGTTAGGGTATTGAATTGGGTGGGGGTTCCTAAGATGGGGCCCCCACTGGAAGCATGGGCCTAGGGCTTAACAAATTGTTTAAGCAAGTCAAGGGCTTGGGAGCTATGAACAATGGGCTTTGAGGTGAGCGGTGGTTGTGGTTAGGGTTAGGGTTAGGGTTAGGGATTAGGGGAGTGAATTAGTCAAAACTAAATCAGAATAGCACTGGCCGAGGTTTTGATGCTGCCAGGAAAGAAACACGCCTGTTTAGGGTCTTAGGGTTATTTTTAGGTCAGGTAATATTGTTTTTGATAATTTTTATAAATGTGAGGGGGGCTAGTCTGTAGTTGAGGGTTGGGTTAGGGTTGGGTTAGGGTTGGGTTAGGGTTAGGGTTGGGGTTAGGGTTAGGGTTAGGGTAAGGGGTGGGGTGGGGTTACCGGTTAGGGTACCTCACAAAAAAAGCATGGGCCGAGGGTGTTGGAGAAATCTCGGAGGAGGATGTGGGGTACGGACAACCAGGGATTTGGATATTATGCACGTAAGAATGGGGTAGCCGGGGTTAGGGTACGGGAAGGTATAAAATGGTCTGGCTAACAATCGTCCGATGGGTTAGGGTTAGGGTTAGGGTTAGGGTTTGGTTAGGGTTGGGTTAGGGTTAGGGTTGGGTTAGGGTTGGGTTAGGGTTAGGGTTGGGTTAGGGTTAGGGTAGGGTTAGGGTTGGGTTAGGGTTAGGGTTAGGGTTAGGGTTAGGGTTAGGGTTAGGGTTAGGGTTGGGTTAGGGTTAGGGTTAGGGTTAGGGTTAGGGTTAGGGTTAGGGTTAGGGTTAGGGTAGGGTTAGGGTTAGGGTTAGGGTTAGGGTTAGGGTTAGGGCTAGGACTTGGATACTACTTCGCACCGCACCCACTGTTGGAATTCGTAATGAATTACTAACAGCGAGTGCGGTGCGGGTGGGATAGGGTACTCGAGTGCGAGATTGATCCAGGATGATCCGCTTCCAATTGAAGATTTTAATGCAAAATGCCCCCTTGTCATTTCTATTCGCCCTCTATCTGGTAAAGGTTATTCCTCCGCTTCAATTGACAGTGTAGACAATCGGTAAGATTATTAGTCTATGTGGGGCAATGGATGTATTCTACAGATTCTGGTTGTTAATTTAGGTGCTTACAATGTCAGTGTTTATGATTTTCCCGTAAAATCGTGCTTGTCAGCTGAGCTTGAAAAACCGGTTGTCTCTGCGAAATAATGCATTACGCTCGCTTTGGACTCGTTAAAATATGAATAAAAACTAACTAACGCATGTTAGTCTGATAAGTCCCGAGGAAGTGTCACCAGATGCTTTTTTTTTTTTTTTTTTTTTAATCAATCTGGACTGGAAGTGAATAAAATAACGATGTGGCATCGATCGTTTCGATGATCTAAGGCCTCGGGAAATGTTTATAGTATGTGCTAATACTTGTCACGTATTACACGGTAGCATATACTCGGATTCGCGGAAGAAATTCATTTCTTAAAAAAAAACCCGCACAAAACATCTTTATCATCGAAAAATCAGATGATTTTAATTAATTGTAGATTGTAGGACCAGCGGAAGCGCTGCCGTGGCCAACCCTGTCGTTTAGAAAATGTAGCGAAATTGTGAACTTTGTAAAAATTTTAAACACATGTAGAACGATAATGAAGTAAACTAGATAGAAAGTGCTGGATGAAAGACATGACATATATATTAGTACTTAGTTACAAACGCCTAAAAAAGGAATCGAGGTATCGGCATGAAAATTTTTCAGGCACGCTTGCCATAGGGGTGAAGAGTTTGGAAGTCGTGTTCCAGGAGGTAACCGTTCGTAGCGCCATCTGTGTTGGCAACGGGCATAGCAACAAAACTGTCATGGCGTCGTGTGTGAAGAGGAAAAAGGTATTGAAGAGAAATCGGTCAAAAACAAGAAGGCAAGTGATTACTTTGACATGTTATCTGTCCCCGTAGCTGCTTTGAGCCCTTGGGACATTGACACGAATACGTACATACGGCAGACAGTGTGTTTTATGGAAATTTTGCCCGGAAAGCGGCAAATTCTTGTTTCGAATTCCGACTGTCAAGTATTCTTTTCTGCGTGCTGTCCGATGCGAACCACAGTGGAGAATGACCATGAAATTTCTCTGCCAACGCAGGGATTGCACACGGAACCTCCATGTTAGCGAGCCAACGTCTTAATGACTGAACCCACCACAACTCCCATGGCATGTAAAATATTCAGCTGAAGTTAATTTACTACTTCGGCAGTGTTGGTATCCACAAGTAAAATAATCATCCTCTTTTGTATTGTAGGACAACCCGAAAGAAATGGCTCCTACTTGTATGACATGGGTCGACTGACACCGGGATTCCACCTTTTGAAGCAATACCCAACAAGAGAAAGATTTTCAATGCTTGATTTCCAAGACACAATGGTATTTTACACTCACACTGACCATATTAAAATACAACGATTGGTAATTGCCCGGAAAGCGGCAAATTCTCGTTTCGAATTCCGACTGTCAAGTATTCTTTTCTGCGTGCTGTCCGATGCGAACCACAGTGGAGAATGACCATGAAATTTCTCTGCCAACGCAGGGATTGCACACGGAACCTCCATGTTAGCGAGCCAACGTCTTTATGACTGAACCCACCACAACTCCCATGGCATGTAAAATATTCAGCTGAAGTTAATTTACTACTTCGGCACTGTTGGTATCCACAAGTAAAATAATCATCCTCTTTTGTATTGTAGGACAACCCGAAAGAAATGGCTCCTACTTGTATGACATGGGTCGACTGACATCGGGATTCCACCTTTTGAAGCAATACCCAACAAGAGAAAGATTTTCAATGCTTAATTTCCAAGACACAATGGTATTTTACACTCACACTGACCATATTAAAATACAACGATTGGTAATAGACAAAATGGTGGAAGCATAAAGACCGTCCTCGATGCAATCAACAAATTGTTTCGAAACCGACAATAGTGGATGCACACTGATGTGCAGTGAAATTTCGTTAGGCCGCTACAACGTTAGCTTGAAGTATATCTGGATATACTATATGTAGTGTAAATTCTGCCTGTTTATGCCGTGACATATTATGTAATTATGTAAGCAATGGACTTGCCATCGAGCCAATGATGAACCATGTTTGATGTGATGCAGTATACCTCTGTGAAAGCTGGTACTAGCAGTTATAACAACAAGAACTATTTTGTTTTTACAAGTGAAATGTATTGTGCACTGATGAGCAATAATATACTTTACTTTGGGGCCATTCCTACCAATTTGAATTGTTGCATAGAACGTAATGGGATGTTGGTCTCAAAGTACCTATTAGGACCCCCCAAATAACGAGGGTTTTTTTCGCATCACCACTGGTATATATTGTTTTGAACCGCGAACGGCTTTAGCCGTGAAGCTCTGTGATATTTAGAAGCGACAAATGCGAACCAAATGTTAGAAATTACTATCCCTGGCCAATATCAATGCGAAAGTTGTTGGGTGTTTAAAAATGAACTTTGTATTGACTATATTTAATTTCTTGTCTGTGCCAAATGAATTACAAAATTATGTCATTTTCTGTTGAGATGACTGCTTTTTTTAAAAACAGATTGGAATTAATAAATATGCTTGGTAGAGTTATCTGCCCTTTTCATGAAAGCTGGCAGCAGTTATAACAACAAGAACTATTTTTGTTTTTACAAGTAAAATGTATTGTGCACTGATGGGCAATAATATACTTTACAAATTTGAATTGTTTTCTGGAGTACTTAGGCCTGTCTTTCTTAAAATGTCAGTGTTTTTTGTGGGCAGATAGAATAGAATGAAAACTTGCTGTTGAGATAGAAAGATATACTGCTTGTTGCATTGCACGTAATCGTATGTTGGGCTCAAAGTACCTATTAGGACCCCCCCCCCCCAAATAACGAGGTTTTTTTTCGCATCACCACTGGTATATATTGTTTTGAACCGCGAACGGCTTTAGCCGTGAAGCTCTGTGATATATAGAAGCGACAAATGCGAACCAAATGTTAGAAATTACTATCCCTGGCCAATATCAATGCGAAAGTTGTTGGGTGTTTAAAAATGAACTTTGTATTGACTATATTTAATTTCTTGTCTGTGCCAAATGAATTACAAAATTATGTCATTTTCTGTTGAGATGACTGCTTTTTTTAAAAACAGATTGGAATTAATAAATATGCTTGGTAGAGTTATCTGCCCTTTTCATGAAAGCTGGCAGCAGTTATAACAACAAGAACTATTTTTGTTTTTACAAGTGAAATGTATTGTGCACTGATGGGCAATGATATACTTTACAAATTTGAATTGTTTTCTGGAGTACTTAGGCCTGTCTTTCTTAAAATGTCAGTGTTTTTTTGTGGGCAGATAGAATAGAATGAAAACTTGCTGTTGAGATAGAAAGATATACTGCTTGTTGCATTGCACGTAATCGTATGTTGGGCTCAAAGTACCTATTAGGACCCCCCCAAATAACGAGGGTTTTTTTCGCATCACCACTGGTATATATTGTTTTGAACCGCGAACGGCTTTAGCCGTGAAGCTCTGTGATATATAGAAGCGACAAATGCGAACCAAATGTTAGAAATTACTATCCCTGGCCAATATCAATGCGAAAGTTGTTGGGTGTTTAAAAATGAACTTTGTATTGACTATATTTAATTTCTTGTCTGTGCCAAATGAATTACAAAATTGTGTCATTTTCTGTTGAGATGACTGCTTTTTTTAAAAACAGATTGGAATTAATAAATATGCTTGGTAGAGTTATCTGCCCTTTTCATGAAAGCTGGCAGCAGTTATAACAAAAAGAACTATTTTTGTTTTTACAAGTAAAATGTATTGTGCACTGATGGGCAATAATATACTTTACAAATTTGAATTGTTTTCTGGAGTACTTAGGCCTGTCTTTCTTAAAATGTCAGTGTTTTTTGTGGGCAGATAGAATAGAATGAAAACTTGCTGTTGAGATAGAAAGATATACTGCTTGTTGCATTGCACGTAATCGTATGTTGGGCTCAAAGTACCTATTAGGACCCCCCCCCCCCCCAAATAACGAGGGTTTTTTTCGCATCACCACTGGTATATATTGTTTTGAACCGCGAACGGCTTTAGCCGTGAAGCTCTGTGATATATAGAAGCGACAAATGCGAACCAAATGTTAGAAATTACTATCCCTGGCCAATATCAATGCGAAAGTTGTTGGGTGTTTAAAAATGAACTTTGTATTGACTATATTTAATTTCTTGTCTGTGCCAAATGAATTACAAAATTATGTAATTTTCTGTTGAGATGACTGCTTTTTTTAAAAACAGATTGGAATTAATAAATATGCTTGGTAGAGTTATTTGCCCTTTTCATGAAAGCTGGCAGCAGTTATAACAACAAGAACTATTTTTGTTTTTACAAGTAAAATGTATTGTGCACTGATGGGCAATGATATACTTTACAAATTTGAATTGTTTTCTGGAGTACTTAGGCCTGTCTTTCTTAAAATGTCAGTGTTTTTTTGTGGGCAGATAGAATAGAATGAAAACTTGCTGTTGAGATAGAAAGATATACTGCTTGTTGCATTGCACGTAATCGTATGTTGGGCTCAAAGTACCTATTAGAACCCCCCCAAATAACGAGGGTTTTTTTCGCATCACCACTGGTATATATTGTTTTGAACCGCGAACGGCTTTAGCCGTGAAGCTCTGTGATATATAGAAGCGACAAATGCGAACCAAATGTTAGAAATTACTATCCCTGGCCAATATCAATGCGAAAGTTGTTGGGTGTTTAAAAATGAACTTTGTATTGACTATATTTAATTTCTTGTCTGTGCCAAATGAATTACAAAATTGTGTCATTTTCTGTTGAGATCACTGTTTTTTTTTTTTTTACACAGATTGGAATGAATAAATATTGTTAATAGAGTTATCTGCCATTTTCATGAAAGCTGGCAGCAGTTATAACAACAAGAACTATTTTGTTTTTACAAGTGAAATGTATTGTGCACTGATGGGCAATGATATACTTCACAAATTTGAATTGTTTTCCGGAGTACTTAGGCCTGTCTTTCTTAAAATGTCAGTGTTTTTTTGTGGGTAGATAGAATAGAATGAAAACTTGCTGTTGAGATAGAAAGGTATACTGCTTGTTGCATTGCACGTAATTGTATGTTGGGCTCAAAGTACCTATTAGGACCCCCCCAAATAACGAGGGTTTTTTTCGCATCACCACTGGTATATATTGTTTTGAACCGCGAACGGCTTTAGCCGTGAAGCTCTGTGATATTTAGAAGCGACAAATGCGAACCAAATGTTAGAAATTACTATCCCTGGCCAATATCAATGCGAAAGTTGTTGGGTGTTTAAAAATGAACTTTGTATTGACTATATTTAATTTCTTGTCTGTGCCAAATGAATTACAAAATTGTGTCATTTTCTGTTGAGATCACTGGTTTTTTTTTTTTTTTTACACAGATTGGAATGAATAAATATTGTTAATAGAGTTATCTGCCATTTTCATTTCCATTTCCAACAAAAACTGAAATGTCACCATTGCAAATGTACAGGCCTTTAATATCGAGACACTTATCTGTAGATTTAAGTTCACATTTCCAGCCTTGCAAGGAAGGGTCTATTCCCTCGTATGGTACGTAAAAGAGCCCTCGACACTTGGAATTTGAAGGAAAAAAATTGGTCGTTGTGCCGCTGTCCAGGCAAAATGTCCCTCACAACACCGTGTTTGGCCTATGCCGAAATCGCAAGCTCCGGCACTGAGTGGGTGGGGGGTGGGGTTTAGATTCCCCAATGAACGCCTGTCCAACCTTGTGGGTTTCTTCCCACCGCTAATGACCCATTGTGTTGCTAGGGGATTTTCTTTCGAGAAGACATTATTCAGAGACAACGGATGGTACTTAAAAGAACCCTCGACACTTGGAATTTGAAGAAAAGAATGGGTCGTAGTGCCACATAGCACACATTTTTCTTGGCGTCCTCCCGGTTTACTCCCATTGCTAAAGACCCCCTATGCCCAAGTGAATTATTGAAAACAAATGGAAGCATCTGAAATGACCTAGTTTGTGTCGGTTGGGACCTTAAACCTCCTCCCCTCCCGCTCCCCCTCTCTTCATTAGCCCAGTCAGTGCGGATCATCTCTAAATGCATAAATCACCCCTTGTTGATAGCCATGGGTTAGGGTTAGGGTTGGGTTAGGGTTTAGGGTTAGGGTGGGTTAGGGTTAGGGATTAGGGGTGTGAATTAGCGAAAACTAAGACAAGATGCACTGGCCGAGGTTTCGAAACTGTTTTAGGAAAAAAACACGCCTGTTTAGGGTCTACAGGGTTATCTTTAGGTCAGGTATATCTTATTTCTTTAACTTTATGACTTGCTGGAGGGTTTAATCTTTTGCCGGGACTCTTCTAGATGGTTTGTTTATAGTGAACGGATCTGTGTGTTTAGTAGAGAAACTAGGGTTAGGGTTAGGAAATAGGGTTGGGCCTTAGGGTCCACTAAAAAGTGTCGCTTAAGGCAAAAGCACCGGCCTAGGTTTCGAAGTTGATATTAAGGAGCGCGCCGGTTTAGGGTCTTCACAGGGTTAGTTTTCGGGTCAGGTTTATATTGTTTTATTTCCAGTTGTCGGTCACGGGTCTGTCTTTATTCGGAGCTCTTCGGTTTGATTCAAAGCAGGCGGGTGGGGGGCATACTGTATTGGCAGGTGGGTTGAAATTAAATCTACTAGGAACTGAGGTCTTGAGTTTCGTAGATTTAGCCCGAGTGTCTGGTTGTCGAGGTCTACTAATGGGCGCTGTCTTTTTTGATTTAAACGCAATTTTAGTCTTTCTTCTAGGTGTGTAGGGGACGACGCTGAAGGCCGGTGGCGCTTTAGCCGACTCAGATGGTACTCTAGTGGGGGGCGTGATACTAGGTGTTCTGACCTTCGTGGTCGGCGCTGGTTTTTTCGATCTAGGCGACGGAGTCTTGGCGGGTGGGGAGGGGGTTTCTGACGGTGACGACGGGGGCGTGGCTACACAATCTGGTAAAACTTTCATGAATTCATCGATCGTGTCCTGTCTAAGTCGTTTACCGTAATTCTTTTTCGCCCAAGATAAAGAAATGGCACCTAAGTTCATCATTTGATCACGGGAAAAGTAGCTATTATAATAGAGCACTGAGTCGAGACTCCACGTTTTCTCTTGCATATAGTGGCGTCTGAGTTCATCGCGTATGTTTTTGGCCCAGGCAGCGTTGACTTTCTGTATTCGCTCGACAATTTTTTCGTTGGTACGGCCTTTTCTAATAAATTGGTTCAGTTCTTTCTCTTTTTTCTTAAAGCATGTCGAAGGTTCGGCCAAGTTTGCTAGATGATGTAAACACTGGATAAACTGATAAAAAGATCGAGTGATGACACGTTTGTCATATGCTCGCTCCTCTTCGGTTTGGGGGTCCATGTTTCATGAAAAGAAAGAAGAAATAAATGGGGTAAATAATTGAGTTCTTAAAGAAATATGCTAAATAACTCGGCTTTTTATTCCCGTCTTATTTTAGAATAAACAAGCAAAACACAGAGATTCAATTATTATTACATTCACGACTGACTTTATTTAATAATAATGATAAAAGAATGGTATTTACTAATAACAAAGAATAAAAAATGGTAAAAGGCGACAAATAAGACAAGGGTAACAACAATGGAATATAAACAAAACAAAAACTTACATATTAAATTATACGGGCTCCTTATATCCTCGACGCGTTTCGTTCTAAACTGAACTTTATCAAGAGGAACAGAAATTGTCTGATTTGAGATAGTTTTACCGGGTCTTATATATGCTTTGAATGGGGGTGGGGGGTTGATCGTAAGCTAAATTTAGGGGTAAATGGTACTCAAGCCTAACATAGGGATTAAGGTGACAAGTGTTTGATCGGATTATCTGGGAAGCCGTAGATTTGGATCAGTTTATCAAAGATATCACACATGTTCTTATAAACAATGTCACATTTTAGCACCTTTAAAACAAAGCATAAAGTAATTAAATTGATGTACAACTAATCTCATAGAGTTTAAATAGATGGACAAAATAATATGTTTTAACACAATTAAAATACAAATTCTGTGGTTTTAAAATTAAACTAAAAATCAAGACGTTCTGAGGAGCCGTAAAAAAAGGAGACAATATTTTATACGAAAGTGTTTATAATTAAATATATACGGCACTATTCGGAGACTAAAAATAATAAGTGAGTGTTTATGCGAACATTAATAACAAATCTCTGCCTGGCACTCGCTGGGTTAGGAAATAGGGTTGGGCCTTAGGGTCCACTAAAAAGTGTCGCTTAAGGCAAAAGCACCGGCCTAGGTTTCGAAGTTGATATTAAGGAGCGCGCCGGTTTAGGGTCTTCACAGGGTTAGTTTTCGGGTCAGGTTTATATTGTTTTATTTCCAGTTGTCGGTCACGGGTCTGTCTTTATTCGGAGCTCTTCGGTTTGATTCAAAGCAGGCGGGTGGGGGGCATACTGTATTGGCAGGTGGGTTGAAATTAAATCTACTAGGAACTGAGGTCTTGAGTTTCGTAGATTTAGCCCGAGTGTCTGGTTGTCGAGGTCTACTAATGGGCGCTGTCTTTTTTGATTTAAACGCAATTTTAGTCTTTCTTCTAGGTGTGTAGGGGACGACGCTGAAGGCCGGTGGCGCTTTAGCCGACTCAGATGGTACTCTAGTGGGGGGCGTGATACTAGGTGTTCTGACCTTCGTGGTCGGCGCTGGTTTTTTCGATCTAATCGACGGAGTCTTGGCGGGTGGGGAGGGGGTTTCTGACGGTGACGACGGGGGCGTGGCTACACAATCTGGTAAAACTTTCATGAATTCATCGATCGTGTCCTGTCTAAGTCGTTTACCGTAATTCTTTTTCGCCCAAGATAAAGAAATGGCACCTAAGTTCATCATTTGATCACGGGAAAAGTAGCTATTATAATAGAGCACTGAGTCGAGACTCCACGTTTTCTCTTGCATATAGTGGCGTCTGAGTTCATCGCGTATGTTTTTGGCCCAGGCAGCGTTGACTTTCTGTATTCGCTCGACAATTTTTTCGTTGGTACGGGCGGGTCTAATAAATTGGTTCAGTTCTTTCTCTTTTTTCTTAAAGCATGTCGAAGGTTCGGCCAAGTTTGCTAGATGATGTAAACACTGGATAAACTGATAAAAAGATCGAGTGATGACACGTTTGTCATATGCTCGCTCCTCTTCGGTTTGGGGGTCCATGTTTCATGAAAAGAAAGAAGAAATAAATGGGGTAAATAATTGAGTTCTTAAAGAAATATGCTAAATAACTCGGCTTTTTATTCCCGTCTTATTTTAGAATAAACAAGCAAAACACAGAGATTCAATTATTATTACATTCACGACTGACTTTATTTAATAATAATGATAAAAGAATGGTATTTACTAATAACAAAGAATAAAAAATGGTAAAAGGCGACAAATAAGACAAGGGTAACAACAATGGAATATAAACAAAACAAAAACTTACATATTAAATTATACGGGCTCCTTATATCCTCGACGCGTTTCGTTCTAAACTGAACTTTATCAAGAGGAACAGAAATTGTCTGATTTGAGATAGTTTTACCGGGTCTTATATATGCTTTGAATGGGGGTGGGGGGTTGATCGTAAGCTAAATTTAGGGGTAAATGGTACTCAAGCCTAACATAGGGATTAAGGTGACAAGTGTTTGATCGGATTATCTGGGAAGCCGTAGATTTGGATCAGTTTATCAAAGATATCACACATGTTCTTATAAACAATGTCACATTTTAGCACCTTTAAAACAAAGCATAAAGTAATTAAATTGATGTACAACTAATCTCATAGAGTTTAAATAGATGGACAAAATATTATGTTTTAACACAATTAAAATACAAATTCTGTGGTTTTAAAATTAAACTAAAAATCAAGACGTTCTGAGGAGCCGTAAAAAAAGGAGACAATATTTTATACGAAAGTGTTTATAATTAAATATATACGGCACTATTCGGAGACTAAAAATAATAAGTGAGTGTTTATGCGAACATTAATAACAAATCTCTGCCTGGCACTCGCTGGGTTAGGAAATAGGGTTGGGCCTTAGGGTCCACTAAAAAGTGTCGCTTAAGGCAAAAGCACCGGCCTAGGTTTCGAAGTTGATATTAAGGAGCGCGCCGGTTTAGGGTCTTCACAGGGTTAGTTTTCGGGTCAGGTTTATATTGTTTTATTTCCAGTTGTCGGTCACGGGTCTGTCTTTATTCGGAGCTCTTCGGTTTGATTCAAAGCAGGCGGGTGGGGGGCATACTGTATTGGCAGGTGGGTTGAAATTAAATCTACTAGGAACTGAGGTCTTGAGTTTCGTAGATTTAGCCCGAGTGTCTGGTTGTCGAGGTCTACTAATGGGCGCTGTCTTTTTTGATTTAAACGCAATTTTAGTCTTTCTTCTAGGTGTGTAGGGGACGACGCTGAAGGCCGGTGGCGCTTT